TGCTAAAGAAGAAGAATTGGATCGACGAAAGCTAACGCTTAATAATACCCTTGCTGATATCAATTCTAAAAAACGAGGTTACTCACTATTCTTTTGTAACTGATTTTGTATAATATTGTGTAGTATATACTCCTAGGCTGGAGTTGTTGATCTGAAATTAGATGCGCGAAAATGAGTCTTTCTCATTTTCGTGATTCGTTTCGATGGTAAATTGGTACTGGCATTACTCAAATATTCAAGGGCGCCAGATCGTGTTTTTTTTTTCAGTTTGCTTGTTGGATTGATGATTCCCACTCCTAACCGTACCCTGTACTGTCTTTGTTTACAGCTAAGGGATGAAATACAGGCAGACGAACTTCTGCATATTCCTCTTTACATGACTCTTCAACACGTTGGGGGGCTGTTAATATGGTACAAGCCGTATAACATGTTGAAGAGTCATGTAAACAGGAATATGCAGAACTTCGTCTGCCTGTGTTTTATCCCTTAGCTGTAAATAAAGACAGTATAAGGTGCGGTTAGGAGTGGGAATCATCAGTACAGCCCCCTAACCACCATGTGAAAATGCAGTATAAGAGAAGGAGATAAGAGTGAGATAAGACGTTTTTTGGGACCTTTTTTTCTTGCCACGCTTCCGAAGTCGACCTTCTTTTGTGCATGCATCGAACAATCATTAGTAAGATAGGCAGCTCAAGATCGAAGAACCTGACATAGCCACACTTGGCAAACGAAAGCATCGCAGTATACATTACTAATTTGGTGCCCAGGATCATTTATTCTGACAGTCTTAATCTCCGTGCCGGTTTTTTCATTGTTAAGAGGGAAAGCCCGAACTCAGTTGTTTTTCGTAATTTTTGTATTTCTTCGAGAAATGTGGTAATTATAGGTTACTGCTCTCTGAAAATGCTTTTTCGATTGTCACCTTTTTATGCTTTAATCGTTTTAGTTCTCAGCGACTTGGCCAATGCTGAACAGGAAGCATTCCACAATAAATTTCTTGTCCTGAAAAACAATGGACGATCGATGGGATGTGGTGAAGCATGGCAGTGGTATGAGGCACACAAGGAACAATTCAAATATCCCGTTTATGTCCCCCTGTTGTCTGTAAGTATTCAGTTGTAACTTTAATTCCAGATGATGTGTGTTTATCTAAAAAGTTAGGGTTTGAAAGTAAGAGAATAAAAAGTAAGTATGATTTTTTGAATGATCCCAGTTATGGAGTGCCCAGTTTAATGGACCAAAACATTTCTTACTATTAAAAAATAATTTTATTAATTTACAAATTTTGTAATTCTCATCTCTTACCTTCCTTTTTGTTCTTATCTTTTCATACGCTGTTAATATTTATACCTTCCTATTAATATACCGTCCTGTTATTACTTTGTTAGTTGTTTTATTAATATCATTCTATTACTTTGTTAGTCATCAAAACAGGCTAATAGCTCTCATCGACTTGATAGTGGTCAACCTGCTAGTGTTGGTCAGTTGGTCAGTATCTTTTTTTAGGAATATGGCAGGGATTTTTGATAACTTTTTCGGCCAAAGCTCGAATTGCAGTGACAGCATTTGAACGGCTTCTGACTAGTATGAATAATTTTCATGTGTCTTTTATAAGTCTGTTTTCTGTCCGAAGCTGGAATTGCAATGGTCGCATTTGAACGGGCTTTTGATAGAATTCTGCAAATTTTATTAGCTAGAACAGAGTCTACATGCTAAAGGTATTTAGGCACGAACAGTGGTTAAATTTTACCTTATTTTTGTTGTTTTTCAGATCACTCTAGTTTCCGAAGAAGCCGGGAAATACCTTGAAAATATTGTTGCGCAACGGGATTTCTTGATGTTCATATTTGGTTGCGCTGAAGATGAATCGTTGTTGACCGACAAAAGGCATCCGTGGAGAATTAATTCATGTGTAGTGAGCAAAGAGGAGGTAACGACTTTTTGCTGGTTTTCTTAATCTTAAATCATCTTAAGATTTCTTAAATCATACAGAATCAAGAAGTTTGGAGATTTAATGTTTTTTTTTTTTTGGTTCAATAATCTCAAAATTTCGAAAAAAAAAGTGCAGTTTTCCAACATTTTCGAGCAAAATGCATTCTTCGCGGTAGCGCCAGAGTGGTATTTCCATGCTTGAATTAGATTCCATGAAAAAAAAGCAATAACTAATACCGAAAAAATCTGCTTCGTTATATTTGTTTACGAGTTTTTGGTCTTTTGCGGACAGAAAAACACAATTCGTACTGTCGTAACTGATTTTTTCGCCCTCGCACTATATTAAGGGGCGGTTAGGAACATTTTTTAGGTGGGGCAGTATTTTTTTAGTAGCCGAAATCACGATACTTTAAAATCATAATTTTTGATAACTTTATAATCATAATTCGAATTCATCATCACCAGAATTTAACAAATTTTAGATTGCGAAATATGCAACAGATGAAGCAATATCGGCAGATTTGTGCAGTCTTGGTTTCACTTGCATGGCTTCCCATTTGTACAATGCGCCAGATCCCGTAAAAGCGTACCTAAACAATGTTTCCTCGGTAAGTATTGAAGTTGAGCATGTTTTCCTAATCTGTCTTTCAGCTAAGAGATGAAACACAGACAGACTTCTTATACATGACACTTAAGTCCAATCCTTCTATTCAACTATTTCATGGTATCTTTGCTGACCGTGACAATCTTGACGAAATATAGTGCCTTGAACTGATTTACTGATAATACATTTTTTTTAATGTAGTTCAGCCTAGTTCAAGAGCATAGTATTTTACCGGAAATGTGCTGCAACTTGCTGACATCCTTTCGTGCACTGCTCCGTGTTTTATTGGGTACCACGAATTTTTCCTCCTTAGCAAGCATGGTTTTTTATGTTTTATCTACTTGCAGCGGGACTACTGGTAATGAAGCAGAATTTAAATACGTTGGTTCTCGTAACACTGTTTTAGTATCTGGTTTTTATGCGTTTTGTGCTGTGTAACAGCAGTACAAAACGCATATTGTTACGGGGTTGT